TGGCCTCCAACCTAATAGCGATGGCCTCCAACCTAATAGCAATGGCCGCCAACCCAATAGCAATGGCCCCCAACCTAATAGCAATGGCCTCAAATTCCGAAAGTTACAATGCGATGTTTCCAAGGAGGTTTGGCCTCGGCGTGGACCTTGTTTGCGCCTCTACGGCTTGGGGGTCAAGCGTTCGGCGTCCCTGAGTTTGGCTCGGCCGGTGGTGCTGCGGCGCTTGGTGCTGGGCGTAACAGTTACTCGAAATTCTGATGAAAACATTCGGAGTTTGAATGCATCTCAGAATTCTTTAAACAAATTTCAGCTTTGGGCATCTGCATCCCAAAGTGTGAGGATTCAGTGGCACGCTCTTCCAGCAGTTGGGGGAAGGAGTCCTTTGTGTGCGGAGAGCTTAAGGCTGAACGGGCTTAGCTGATTCAGCAACTCCAAGACAAGGGGCCTTCTGCCAGGGTGTGGAGAAATGGTGCCGAAGCCTTGAAGACATCGCCAAAGATGCGAGAGCGTCTAAGATGAATGGCGCAGGCATGGATTCTTGGATTGCCTGCAGAGATTGAATTTTTTTGTTCCCCTGGACAAGCGGAATGAGTTTTCTTGAAGGCCGGGGCACCTTCTACACAGATGTGGGGGACAGCTTGCTGATGGTGGATCATGCACTTCAGCTGCACAAACCTTCGCATGAAAACGTACCGAGTTGCGGAGAGAGTCACTTCGAATTGGCAACGCTGTTTTCCTCAGCCTTTGCCAGCTGCAGATGAGGTGGTTTTCCATTCCGTGCCTTCGGAGGGGCTGCTCATAGGATCCTTGGCAGTCTCTGCGACTCAAGAACCTGATGGAGATGCAGAGCAGGCATTCACAGAAATGAGTGAATGAAAGCAAAAGTTATAGAGCATAAACGCAGGACATGACGTGTCGGATTCATATGTGCAACTTTGCCCGGAACTGCGGAATTGTGCTGAGAACCTTGCTGGATTCAACTGATCGTTCAAGTACGCATGTTTGAAGCAAGCAATTGACAATCGGTGTAGGTTGGAGGCCATGGCTATTAAGTTGGAGGCCATCACTATTAGGTTGGAGGCCATCACTATTAGAGTGGAGGCCTTCTCATGTGCTTCTCAAGCGCTCACAGAGCCAAGTTGCATATCTCAAGCGCTCACAGAGCCAAGTTGCATACCGCTCAGTTGGTGATGCTGCTGCGGCGTGCTGAGCCTCAACACTCACATGTGGCACCTCCAGGACTTTTTGAGGCTGTGTTGGAGACCATTTCTGCAAATGCGGTGCCTGAGCAAAATTTGCAACTCGAGTAAAGAGCCAAGGATAGCCCTATATGCGTTGTGCCGTAAGCATCATGGTACAAACCGGGCTGCACTGCCACCAAGGCAGTTTGGAATGCCAATCAGATTTTGGAGTGACTTGGCCTAAGCAAATTGAGCGCTGCCCAGTCTAACAGCTGGGCATTTGGAGGCATGGCCTGCGCCTGAGTGGCTACGCCAGCGGCGCAGAACGGCTGAGCACCAGGGTGAAGCTCCTTGCGAAGGCGTGTGCAGTGCTCACCTGAACTACTATTGTTGATGTTTGTCCAAATTTCAGCCTTGTGCTTGCCCTTCCACAACGAGCATGGAATCCGAGCAGAAGCTTTTTTGAGATTTCATGCTGTAAATGTCAAGGCTGCGACCAAGCAGATGGAGGAGATGATGAGACCAAAATACCATGACTACTTAGCGTCGTTGGATCCGGACACACCACTCTTGGAGCTGGAACGGCGGCTTGGTGAAGGTACCGAAGGGGCGATCTTTCGCTGCTGCGTCGGGTACGTGATTTGTGAATTGCTTTGGCAATCTGTTGCTACTAGCAAACATTGTTACTACTGTATAGCGGTTGTTCACAGTAAGATTTTGTGGCCATCGATACGTCAGTGGGATATGCATGCGTAAGTGAGCAAATTGGCGATGCGTAAGTGAGACCCTTGCTGCTTGCTGTACCGAAGGGACCGGACAGGATCCGTTGTGTTTCTTTATTACAAGTAACTAGCAGTAGGGTACTGTAGGGTTGTGTTGCCCAAGAATCTGATGACCAACATGATGCAACATGGAATTGAAGGTAACCGCTATTGAACGGGTTTTGTGAAGGCTTTGGTTTGCTTTTTCAGGAGCACTTTGCTTCGTTTGTTTTTTTTGCATTTGCTTCCCCTATGCTTGCCCTATGCTTCTCCCTTTGAGAACTCTTCTCTCTCTCTCTCTCTTTCTCTCTATTATAGTATTTGTATATATATATATATACAGTAATTCTTTCTTGTTTTGGGAATCCTTCACTGTCCTTTACAGACTTTTGGAGCAAAGATCAAGCTGCTTATGAAAGAGAGCCCTGTCAAGTCCAATTTGGAAGCCCCCCAATGTTTTTGCAACTGTTCTTGGGAAAATTAGATGCATCTTTGCAAAGTTGCTCCTTGCAGGCCACCCCCCAAAAAAATTGCCAGGCTTCTAAGCTTGGTCACCAATCCCTTTCGGGGCTTCGATTGACGATGGATTCTGCATCGTCATGCATGCTCCTGACTAGAGCATTTGTATTGATAAGCTTTCTTCTTGGCCACACAGTCTGAAGATGCAACACTGATTTTTGATCTGATTACACTGATTTGTCTGAAGTGGGTGATTACACTGAGTTCAATTGATCTGATTTTTGAAGTGCGTGTGTATCCTAGATGGCAAACGAGCAGGCCTACAAACTCTGCCTCGCCACGAAGTCTAAGATATTCTGAATTGGATGCTCCTGGAAGCTTTTACAGGTCATGAGGTTCTCAATTTGTTACACTTGCTGTAAAACTGTTGATGTCATTAGATAACAGAGTTGCGATTTTTTGCTCCAAGAGTTCTGATGTTGAATCCTGGCGCCAGAACTGGACAGACCTGGAAGCCGAGTCAAGGAGTCTGAGGAAATCTCAAGTCTTGACAGTCTTGACTTGTGAAAGCGTTAGCAAAAAGATGCAACTGCAAGTGAAAGTGAGGTGCAGAGTGCCAGTGCTGTCGTTTCATGCTGCTTTCATTTTGGTAAAATGTTTGCCTGTAGAGCAAAGAGGGCCCGGGCAAGGCTGCCACTCTTCTCTTTTTAGAAATGAATGAATCTAGGAACCAAATAAATAGCGTGAGTGATCCTGGGTCAGTTCGCTAGTACTGGGTTACCTAGTTGTTTGTTTAGCCTTTACTTATTAAGTAAGCGCCTACTTAATTAAGAGCGGGCTAAAACATAAAAGGACTTACTTCGCATTGGCGGGTTCTTCAATTGGACCCTAAGGCCGAACAGCATCAGCAGATCTGCAGTGCCTGAGCATGCGACTTTCTTCACGAAGGTCAAAATCCGTCTTTGTTTGAAAGCAAATAAGAAGTAAGCTACTATGAACAAGAACACTTGCAAATATTCCTACATGCAGTAAGCTACTAGTAGCAAAGGGCATCGCTACGAACGGAGCAAGGACGCTACGAATGTAGCTCCTGGCATTACTCCTAGTAGTAAGAAGACGCTAGTAGTACGGAGACTTAAAATATGTTTTGCATCGAAAGCAATCAAGCTGCATGGCTCGACAGGCTTTGTTTGACAAAGCGCAAGCGCTGGCCTTAGGACTGAAGATCATTCAATTTGTTCATTCAATGTTTCTTTGGCAAGGCAAAAGGCACAGCTGCCACCAAGAAGGCTCAGCTTTTCGAAGTGAAGAGCCACTGTAAAATATGAAGAACCACTTGTTTTGCTTGGATGTGCTGGTCAGTCTTTGCTAGGTTCTGGCCGAGGTTTCCTCCTGTCGGTCTGAGGGTACTTTGTTCTACACCTGCAACGCTTGCAGGTTCTGTACGAGTCGTTGGCTATTTGGGTAGATGTAGCCAAAAGCTAAGCCTGCTGCGAAGCAATGTGTTGAAGGTATATCCAGCCACAATGTATATATTGGTGCATTGAGAATGCACATGGCGGACTGATAAAGCCGGTCAACTAGCTCAGGTTCCAGACAAGACAAAGAAGGCCAAGGTGCCCTTGCCTTCAAACAGGGGTCAATCAGATCCTCAATGCATCTGGGCATGAAGTCAAACATAACTGCTGCAGGACCTACGGAACAAAGCTGCAACCTTGATACAGGACAGATATTTGTCCTCCGAGCACCGCGACAATGAAGAAGGGCCACCCCACGCTAATGGTGATATGTTCGGATTCGTGAAACAACGGCCCGAGGTTTTGGTACAGAAAAACTTTTAGATGTCAGCGTCCTTGCTACTAGCAGCGATGCCCTTTGTTACTACTAGCTTCTTGTTCCTAGTAGTAAGGCCAGGAGCTACTAGTAGCGTCCTTGTTACTATCAAGTCACCTGAAGCTTTGAGCACATATACCGCAAGTTCACGATTGATCGGTCTTTGTCCCAGATGAGGATCAGGGCATGGATGTAAAGCCACCCCAGGAAGACCTTGAATGCGATGAAGGTGGATTCATGATTCTGTACTGAAGCGAACGGCAATGTTTATACAAAGATTGCAAAGCTTGTCTAATATTGCACTGTTCAGTCTGTTCCTTTTTGATCTTTTGAGACGGAGACACTTTTCACCGTTGGCCTTGCTAGCTTCTACGCTGACATGCAGGTATTTCTCCCCCAGAGCCAAAGACAAGTACAGAGGTTGGTAGCAGCAGATCAGATTATTGCACTGGGCAAGCACCAAGCTGACACTCTATGGTCATCAATTCTTTTGGTGAAGCTAAAGCAAATAGAGGTTTCTTGGCCACAAAGTTGTATAGAGTTTTCAAGAACGTGCCAGATAGCAAACGCACTTTGCTCAAAGGAGTGGCTGCAGCAACTTTTGTCATTGCGACCGCAACCATTGGTGAAGTCCTGAGCAACACTTGGGGTATTTGGAGAAATCACTACAGGTCTGCCACGGAGAAGCAACCCTCCACTCACTCCACTCAAATCTTTGAAACATTGCTGGTCTACTTTCTCGACCTTCGACCTTCTACAAGACAAGATCAGTGCCAAGATCAATTCTTGTTTGTCCTTGCATGATGCTTTTCTGTCGTTTTAGGAGCATCTGTACTGTAGGTCGTGCGAGGTATGTTTGCCGACTGGCAGCTTTTGCCAGTGCTACTACGTGCCTCTTCGTTTGGCTCACAGAAAGTGAGTTGGGGTGATGTTTGCAAGAGAAAAGATGATTGGCAGAATGGTACTGGCTTTTAGTCTGCAGACCAGACATTTTGTCAAAGGCGGGCGAATAGTTTTACACAGCTTAGGATGGACCAAGGACTCTGAGTGTGTGAAAAGCAGTGGCTCAGGCATCCTCCAAGTGACACCTTTAGCTTTAAGGAGCAGCTTCGCATCCATTTCATCTCAGAAACGCTAGGCCGCTAGGGGCTGGTGCTTTTCGATTTGTTTTTCTATCAGTGAGGACCTTGCTGCAACACTTGCAGAGACATTTGGAGGGACTTTCTCCCCCTTGACTGAGGCTGGACACTCTAGGATGCAAAAGGTCAGGATAGAAAATCTGGATTTGAGTTGGCTAGTTCTCAGTGCTAGGCAGTCCTCTCAGCGGTAACGGATTCATCGATCCGCCCAGACCTGAGCAATGCAGATCGAAATGGGCTAATAGCAATGGCCTCCAACCTAATAGCGATGGCCTCCAACCTAGTAGCAATGCACTTGGATGTCTGGCACTCACAAACAAGAACGCGTTCTCGCAAGTGAACAAGAACGCGTTCTTCTATTCGGTCGAATTCATTGAGCAAGAGATGTGGCTTCTCAAGGCCTGGGAAAGCTTGGTAGAGGCCCTCCGGCCAAGCTGACCCTTGGCATGCTGCGGCAGTTCTCGCAGGTGGTCAACTCAATGGCTCATATGAATGAAGCTCCTACTTAAATAAGTAAGGGAGTAAGCTCCTAGCTACTTGAGCTACTACACATGGACGCAGGATAGCGCTCGCACTTTTCATTTGGTTCCGAGATTCATTTCTGTAAGTGGCTCATTCGGCCAAAATTTGAGCCTTTGCAATTGACCAAGTGGCTTCGCAGGAGGTGGTTAAGGGCGCGTTGAAAAATCTCCAGGCTCAAAGTCGATCTCTTGCACTGATGCAGACGAATGCATGATCGAGCTGCAGCCAGCTGTCCTTTGGGTGTGCAAGCTTAAAGCTGAGAGATCTTCTTGTCAGGCAGCGGAGTTTCGAATTCTTGGCGCTGGAGCTGTTGTGCTCAAGGCTGCCAAAAGCGGTAGCTACTGTAATTGTTGGAAAGGAAGTGCTGTTTGGCGGTGCCTTGACTTTGCAGAGTCAAGACTCGAGGCCATTGCAGTTTTCATGGACGAAGCAGCTAGGGAACCACGAGTCGAGGAGAGTGAGGAACTCAGCAAAAAAATCCAGCAATAGCCGTCCTACCGATGGAGAACCAGTGATTATAGTGTGATTAGCTATATCTTTTAAGGGTGCAAGCTTGGCGTGAGGCAGATGGGCAGATGAGTGTGTGATTGCTTGATTCTCTTTGAGGTGACAGTGATGACTCAGAGTCTCCCCGGCCACCAAAGCACCGGCCTCAAGCTCTGCCACGCCAAGCTCCTTGACTCTTGACGTTTGCTGGACAGAAATGACAATGATTGTGGACGCGAAGGCCTGCTCCAACGACATTGAGCAACTTTGAAGGCCCTCCTCTTTTGCAGTTTTTGCTGTTTGTCAGACTTGCCCTATCATTCACTAAGGAACAAGAAGCTACTAGGGGTTCCTGGCCGTACTACTAGCAGCAAGGACGCTACTAGGGGCTCCTGGCATCACTACTAGTTACTAGTAGCACTACTTGTTGGACTCAAAACGAACAGTTGACTTTCACCACGCACAAGCACCAGTAGAATGCCCTGATGGATTTAGGCTATGCCTGGAACCTTCTGCTGGCCATGATTTTCCAAGGGGTGGGGAACCTTGGACCCAACATATTGCACTTGACCAAGCGTCCAATTTGCAGGTTGCGGTCAGTCCAAAGATGAAAGGGCAGGCGCTGGGAGTTGTCGAAATGATGGAGCGTTGCAGTTCAAGGGATTCATGTGATTCATATTACATAATGTAATTACATATATCATATAAAACTAGACTAGACTATACACACACACATATAATCACATATACACATGTTTGCTAGGTGCATCCTGGATACCTCTCAGCAGTGCTGAAACCTGCCTTTGCTGTAGCTTGGCGGGCTTGTTTTTCACCT